ACGTAAAAGATATCTCAAACGTGGTGGTCTAGTGTAGGTATATAGTATTCTACAATAAGCTGTCGTGGTTTCTTTCTGAACTGCCTGCAGAGAAAGATATCTCAAACGTGGTCGTCCAGTATAGGTAGTATTCTACAATAAGCTGCCGTTGTTTGTGTCTGCATACCTGAAAAAAAATATCTCAAACATGGTGGTGCAGTGTAGTTGTTTTTTACAATAAGCTGTCATAGTTTGTGTCTGTAATCTTGAAAAAATATTAAAAATACTTCAATATGATGTGAAGGGTTAATGGCACTGACCATGTCCGCTCTTGAGAATGGCCTTGGCCAATACATCGAAGCTTTTTAAGTTGTATTTCGCTTGAAAAAAATATGTGTTGTATTGTACCCAATTGAAATGCCATGCACTCTTGAATACAATAATATAAGCAAAGTGATAGGGTATATATAACATTCAATTGATTTTAACATTCAATTGATTTTTTTGCCAGTTCTTAGTGGCATCGTTAATTATTCCTGAGGTAACATAATCCACGACTATTTAGTTTTTCATGACGTTTGCGCAAAATCAATGGCTTTACTCAATACACTATCAGAAGTTTAATTTTAAAATGTCCACCTTATAGGTTTCACTTGGGATTTCTTAAATTCATGCGGCTTGCAAATCTTAGCAATTTTAAATAATATTATCTAATATATAGTTCAACAAAATGAATCGGATAATATTTATTAAAAACATAAAACATGTTGGGGTATATAATTTTACTGTCAATAAGGAGCTTAAGATACACCAAATCTACGACGCGGACTTGACGAAAAACTGCCGCTATTATCACAGTTTCATGCACCTCACGTGTAAAAACTATGGCCGGATTGTCAGTTTTGGTAAACAAAGCCAGGGACACGAGAAAAAGCTCCCTATATATTATATCCTTTTAGGCACGATTTAAACCAAGTTCTTAACAATTTTTCTGCGAATTTTCCACATGCATCAGTACAAAAATCTTTTGTTCAGCAAATGCCTTAGTTGGGGGATTTGAAGTACATATTGACAGATATACCCCCCACATATTTTTAACATTATCTGGTACATTTTGCTTAATTTAAAATTATAACTTAAATCGGAAATCATGCTAACAAGTTATCAAACTAAATGCTATATAGCTGAACATGTTATAAGTTATTGAAAAAGATTCAAAAAGTCGATGAAGGAATTTTGGAGAATGTTGAACTTTTTGGACTTGTATATTCAAAAACTTTTAACATATATGTAACTGTATATGACAATTTTTGAAGTGTTATAAAAGCTTTAGACTCAGTTAAATTGATAAAACGCGGGCAATCTTCATCAGTATGTAGTAATAAAAAATCCAAATTAATTCGACTATAAAGTTCGCTTCGAAACAAAACAGTATATTCGGTTTCGGATTCCTTAGCATAAGTATCTCTTGGGAAAAACAGGATTTATTGGCCGAACTGTCCTTCAGACACTTAAAAATTAGGAAACCCTTTAAGTTGCCGGGGGAATATACAAGCCACCTAATATCAAAGGAATTCTTTTACAAATAACAACATCGCAAGTCAAAGAGTTAAGAAATTTTGTAAGAAAATACGTGTAGGCCTGTCGAAATGGGGTCGGTAGGCGTGAAAGATATGCGTTTTTTACAACGATTGAGAAATCGTAGCATATTCTATATTCGCCATTCGGGAAAATTTCAACGCCTTATTTGAGTAGGGAATTTTAGGTATAGCGGCCGGAACAAGGCTACTTAACTCTTTTCTAAACCAATATATCTGATCAAAAAACAATTATTTTGCCTCATGGTAATTATGAGCATTTTCCCACAATAAAGTCGCACGTGAGAAGAATGCTTCCAGTTTGATTCAATCAAAAACCATAGGCATAGATTTTCTCTATATGTATAACCCGGTTTCCTTCTGTATAGTAACACTGGATCAATAAGGAATGTTCCTTACAAGACCTTCAGGAAGAACAGTTTAGAACTGATACAGCTATCCAGTATAAATAAAGTTAGTTTAGTTTAGATTTCCTCCTGTAGTAACACTGGATCAATAAGAGATGATCCTTACTGGACCTCTAGCGAGAACAGTTTAGAACTGATAGAGCTATCCAGTATCAATAAAATTAGCTTAGTTTAGATTTCCTCCTGTAGTAACACTGGGTCAATAAGAGACGACTCTTACTGGACCTCTAGGGAGAACAGTTTAGAACTGATAGAACTATCCAGTATAAAATAAAGTTAGTTTAGGTTTCCTCAGGAAGAACAGTTTAAAACTGATAGAGCTATATATCCAATATAAACAAAGTTAGTTTATAGTTTAGGTTTCTTCCTGTAGAAACTCTGGATCAATAAGAGATGATTCTTACGGGACCTCTAGAAAGAACCGTTTAAAACTGATAGAGCTATCCAGTATAAATAAAGTTAGTTTAGTTTAGATTTCCTCCTGTGGTAACACAGGATGAATGAGAGATGATCCTTACTGGACCTCTAGGAAGATCAGTTTAGAACTGATAGAGCTGTCCAGTATAAATAAAGTTAGTTTAGTGTAGATTTTCTCCTGTGGTAACACTGGATCAATGAGAGATGATCCTTACTGGACCTCTAGGAAGATCAGTTTAGAACTGATAGAGCTATCCAGTATAAATAAAGCTAGTTTAATTTAGGTTTCCTCCTGTAGTAACACTGGATCAATAAGAGATGATCCTTACTGAACCTCTAAGAAGAACAGTTTAGAACTGATAGAGCTATCCAGTATAAATAAAGTTAGTTTAGTTTAGGTTTCCTTTTGTAGTAACACTGGATCAATAAGAGATGATCCTTACTGAACAAATACGAAGAACAGTTTAGAACTGATAGAGCTATCCAGTATAAATAAAGTTAGTTTAGTTTAGGTTTCCTCCTGTGATAACACTGGATCAATAAGAGATGACTCTTATATAATGGATCTCTAGGAAAAACAGTTTATAACTGACAGAGCTATCCAGTATAAACAAAGTTAGTTTAATTTAAATTAGGTTTCCTCCTGTAGTAACACTGGATCAATGAGAGATGATTCTTACTGGACCTCTAGGAAGAACAGTTTAGAACTGATAGAACTATCCAGTATAAATAAAGTTAGTTTAGGTTATGTTCCCCCCTGTGATAACACTGGATCAATAAGAGATGACTCTTATATAATGGATCTCTAGGAAGAACAGTTCATAACTGACATGCAGAGCTATCCGGTATAAACAAAGTTAGTGAACATGCACTTACCCTTTGAAACCTTCTTTATTGTATCAACGCCTCCAGATTTGAAACGAATTTTTGCCGCCTATAGAATAAACAAAGACAGTCGTGAGAATTAGTTATTATTGTTTATAACATGGACTTTTGTATCCAATAATAGAACATTCCAGGTTATTTCTGACAATAATATGGTCTATAGGTCTAGACAATTCTGTTTGTCAATGAGAAATTCCTTTCATGGACGCGAAAGAGTCAACTAACCGCAGATAGTATTGTTGGTTTGTGGTAATATTTGGGTCATTCTGAGAAGAAATGTAATATATCTTTTTTAGTAAAAAGTCTTATCTTGATCAACTTTTTCACTGTCAAAGTTCCCGGATATGGTTTTATAATAGTTGAATTGCAAATTATAGTTTTCCTCTGTTCCTTTTTTGCTGCTAAAATTCATCCACACACGTAAAAACGCACAAGTTGTTATCCAGTCCTGCAAACAAATTGTTACAAGCCTGTTCACAAGCTGTAGGCAGGCTGTGTTCGCACTGCTTGTTCCCTGTTGTTGTAACAAGTTTGGAACAAGCTGTTAACAACTTGTAACAAGCTTGATGTCATTATCAGACTTGTTACAAGATTGTTCTAACAAGTCTGATACAGTCATGATATAACAAGAATGTTACAAGGTTGATGACACAATTGTTACAAGGTTGTAACAATATTGTTATATCATGACTGTATCGGACTTGTTGAAACAGCCTTGCAACAAATCTGATAATATCAGCAAGGTTGTTACAACTGTTAACAAGTTGTTCCATACTTGTTGACAACTTGGGACAAGCAATGCGAACACAACTTGTCAACAACGGCTTGTTGACAAGCTTGCTACAGGATGTGAGATTTATGCGTGGGTGATGATATTATATCCAGTGCTATTGATAAAAGCTGATCGAGATCAGGTTATTTGCTATACAGATGGCGGAAAACGGCGGAAAACGTAATTATACTATATACAGGGTCTCTCAACAAAACTGCGATAGCTATGTTCCATATTTTTACACAGCTAACTATTCGTGAGCCCCAAATTTTCAAAAGATTATTAAATGTGGTCAAGTAAAACTTAAGTTATGGCTGTTTAAACTTCGGTACTTTATACACAAACGATCCATAATTTCAATGATCCATTGGATAAATCAGACTTTATATAAAAACAGCCATGACAATGTAACATTGGACCCATTTTAATAATCTTAAAGTGTCAAAATTTATTTCTTGAATTTTGGATTATATTTTCGATGCCTACTATAATAGCTATAGCTGTGTGTATATAAAAAGCTGGAATAAAGCTACTGCAGTTTTTTCGAGACCTTGCAAAGTTCCGAATATGGCTTTAGCCAGAGATCTTGTAGGCGGAAAATCTCGAATGCTAAAGCGTATATATTCATGTGACACACTCAAAGTGATATTGTCTAATTATATAAGATGCGCCACTAGTCTTGAGATTGAAACAAAGAAAGCATACACAGCATACATTCCTTATTAAAATTACTGTGTCAAGCACGAAAGAACTTTGATCAAGTTTATAAATTGCGTGGGAGATAGCTGGTATAGTTTATTTCGTATGAACTGATATATATCGATGTATAAGTTACGAAGTAGAATTCGTTTGGTTATCGCAAGAAAAATTTCTGCCAGTGAATGTAAGTAATGCGGGGTAAATCGTTGTATTATAGCCAATTCTTAACTGTTATTATACCCTATGCTAAGGAACGGTATGAACGGTGATAAAGTTGTTATTGTTGCATATATGTTATTATTTCATTCGAGCAAATTATCATGCTATGTATTTGTCGTAGATTTTTGTTGATAACGAATTTGTTCAGAATCACGATATTTGAAGCTTAGCGTAAGTCCATGGCCACATTAATCTGTCGTGATTTATGTTCGAACAACTTCAAAGATTATCAAAAATGATTCGGGTTCGGGCAAAGGCCATTCAACGGGAAGTTAAATGCTATAGTACTTGTCAGTAGTTACTGCATGACCTCGTGACATACCTTCGCTAAAAAAGTATATGTTTTTGATCTTCCTCAGGTAGTTCAGACACAAACCACGGCAGCTTATTGTAGAATACTACCTACACTGAATCACTACGTTTGAAATATCTTCTTCAGGTAGTTCAGACACAAACCACAGCAGGTTATTGTAGAATACTACCCACACTGGACCACCACGTTTGAGATATCTTTTTCAGGTAGTTCAAACACAAACCACAACAGCTTATTGTAGAATACTACCTACACTGAATCACTACGTTTGAAATATCTTCTTCAGGTAGTTCAGACACAAACCACAGTAGGTTATTGTAGAATACTACCTACACTGGACCACCACGTTTGAGATATCTTTTTCAGGTAGTTCAGACATAAACCACGACAGCTTATTGTAGAATACTACCTACACTGGACCACCACGTTTGAGATATCTTTTCAGGTAGTTCAGACATAAACCACGACAGCTTATTGTAGAATACTACCTACACTGGACCACCACGTTTCAGATATCTTCCCCAGGTAGTTCAGACATAAACAATGATAGTATATTTTATTTTTCCTTCTCTTTACATAGAAATTCCTAATGGACCGCCAACATCAACAATAACAGCAACAACAAGTGCCACAACAAGAGCAACAACAGAAGCAACAGGATCCACAGCATCAACAATAGCAACAACAGCGGCAACAACAGCAACAACAACAGCAACGGCAGCAGCAACAGCAGCAGAAGCAGCTATACAGAGAACTGAACTAGAAAATACAACAACTATTCCACCTGCAACCGAATTCTTACTTCTTACAACAAAGATCATACCAGTTGTAACAAAGAAAGCAATAAAAGCAGTCATTGCCATCGGGAAAAAGACAAATACAAAAGTAAGAAGCTCAAATTTGTTTATAGTGAACCTCGAAAGAGCTTTTCATTGAAACAAGTGAGAAAGTTGACAGTTTCTTTAAGAAAACTAAATCAGCTGGCTCTTTTTACGGCCGTATCTTTGTGGAAAACATAAGTAAGGATTCTATATGCAATTTTTAAACTTTATTGATATTATTTCCAGAAGAAAATGGAGCCAACAGACAATACGAAGCCTGCAGTCGACGCCGACAAGACAGATGATCCACACGAAGAGAGAGAAACATTTTGGATTTTGGTTTACGTTTTCATGGGTTTCGCCATATTTGAAGTTTTGTGTGTGGCGTTGTTCTTCATTTATAGACACAGACGAAAACGGAAACAAAAAAGGTATGTTGGTTTTTTGTTAATTCGAAAGAGTAACATGATTGATGCATTGGACGTGCTGGTCCAGTGTAGGTAGTATTTTATAATAAAAGCTAATAAACTGTCGTGGTTTGTGTTTGAACGACCTGAAGAAGACTATTTCTCAAACGTGGTGGTCCAGTGTAGGTAGCATTCTACAATAAGCTGCCGTGGTTTGTATCTGAACTACCTGAAAAAGATATCTCAAACGTGGTGGTACAGTGTAGGTAGTATTCTACAATAAGCTGCCGTGGTTTGTGTCTGAACTACCTGAAAAAGATATCTCAAACGTGGTGGTCCAGTGTAGGTAGCATTCTACAATAAGCTGCCGTGGTTTGTATCTGAACTACCTGAAAAAGATATCTCAAACGTGGTGGTACAGTGTAGGTAGTATTCTACAATAAGCTGCCGTGGTTTGTGTCTGAACTACCTGAAAAAGATATCTCAAACGTGGTGGTCCAGTGTAGGTAGCATTCTACAATAAGCTGCCGTGGTTTGTATCTGAACTACCTGAAAAAGATATCTCAAACGTGGTGGTACAGTGTAGGTAGTATTCTACAATAAGCTGCCGTGGTTTGTGTCTGAACTACCTGAAAAAGATATCTCAAACGTGGTGGTCCAGTGTAGATAGTATTCTACAATAAGCTGTCGTGGTTTGTGTCTGAACTACCTGAAAAGATATCTCAACTACCTTCAGAGAATATGCACAATAGAGATATCAAGTTATTTGCAATTAATTGTTCGACTTATAGATTTGAAAATTGTTTATCTTTTCTTATTTCATAGAAGAGTGACTGACAATGCCACTACATCAAATTATGGTATGTTATAAGATTTTAAAATTTTACTCAGAAACATACGTCGATATTACCAAAGTCTGAATTTTGTTGCAAAATTAACAATGTTTCCTGGTTTGCCTACCTTTCGCAAACAGGGCTAGGAAACAATATGTTTCCTGGTTTGTCCACCTTTGGGAAACATGGCTAGGAAACAATGTTTCCTGGTTTGTTCACCTCGGTGAAACATAGCTAGGAAACAATGTTTCCTGGTTTGTCCACCTTCGGAAAACATGGCTAGGAAACAATGTTTCCTGGTTTGTCCACCTTTGGGAAACATGGTTTGGAAACAATGTTTCCTGGTTTGTCCACCTTTGGGAAACATGGCTAGGAAACAATGTTTCCTGGTTTGTCCACCTTTGGGAAACATGGCTAGGAAACAATGTTTCCTGGTTTGCCCACCTTCAGGAAACATGGCCAGGAAACAATGTTTCCTGGTTTGTCCATCTTTCAGAATCATGGCTAGGAAACAATGTTTCTTGGTTTGTTCACCTTCGGGGAACATGGCAACGAAACAATGTGTTCCATTTTGCTTTTTTGCTGGTCAGTGAAAGAGTCTTTAAATAGAATCGAGTCCAGATTGATTAGAATTAGCATCAAGAATGATATGGAATTAAAATGTATTTTCCCTCTTAGATAACGAAGGAATGCACGAAGCAAGAGCGAGCACTGTCAGTCCGCCTCCAGCTTATCCAGAAACCATAGAGCTGTACGAGAATGAAACCGGTGAGCCGAGATACAGCTCGATTCAGCAGATGCGAAACTCATTGACAAGAACCAATGGAATTAACCTGATTGAGAATGGCATTCCACCAAATATGGTAAGCCTTTGTGGTAATAATCTCTCGTACTATGCTGAGGTAATACATGTTCTTGAATGTGGGCAACCTTAAAGTGATCTGATGTTGTACAGAACTCACTGCTGAGTTAAGAATGGTTAGATCATGCAGAGGTAGTACATGTTCTTGAATGTGGACTATCTTAAAGTGATCTGATGTTGTACAGAACTCACTGCTGAGTTAAACATGGTTAGATCCTGCAGAGGTAGTACATGTTCTTGAATGTGGGCTACCTTAAAGTGATCTGATGTTGTACAGAACTCACTGCTGAGTTAAGAATGGTTAGATCAAGCAGTGGTAGTACATGTTCTTGAATATAAGCTAACTTAAAGTGATCTGATGTTGTACAGAACTCACTGCTGAGTTAAGAATGGTTAGATCATGTAGAGTTAGTACATGTCCTTGAATGTGAGCTACCTTAAAGTGATCTGATGTTGTACAGAACGTACTGCTGAGTTAAGCATGGTTAGATCATGTAGAGGTAGTACATGTTCTTGAATGTGAGCTATCTTAAAGTGATCAGATGTTGTACAGAACTGACTGCTGAGTTAAGCATGGTTAGATCATGCAGAGGTAGTACATGTTCTTGAATGCGGGCTATCTTAAAGTGATCTGATGTTGTACAGCAGAGGTACCATATGCTCTTGAATGCATGTGGGCTGCTTAAAGTGATTTGATGTTGTTCACAAGGGCTTAGATAAGCACGTCCATTTTATAAAAAGTACAATAAGTGAATAATATTTATGTACTTCAGGTCGTCCCAGAACCACGTTCAAGAGGAAATTCCCATATCTCGCAAGGCCGTTCAATTATCGTACTTCCGAGAGACTGCGTGATTGTGCACGCTTCAGGCTCACGGAAATCGCGACACAGCACGCATGGGGAAAGCAGCACGCACGAAATCGGAATTCAAAATAACGCCGGACCAACGTCGGACGACAACAGAAGTTTATACTCCTGGGAAAGCTTTTCGAGTTGTTATCGAACCAGTACAGACGAAGACTATGTTTCTGGGAGCAACAGAGCGAACTGGGAAGAGGATTCGTTGTACGAGGAACCTGATAAGGTAATACAAAGAAGTATCAAATCCTCTACAAAAACATTCGGTTTGGAAAGACTGTTTGCATTACAGGAATCAGTGATTAAAAACGCGGAAACTACTAATGAGAGCGCGGATAATGATGATAACAGCGCACAAAATGCTGATGAGAACGGAAAATATGCTAATGAGAACATCTGTTACGCTAATGAGAACGGTAATGAGAATGCAGGTTATTCTAATGAGAACGAGACTTATGCAAATGAGGATAAGATATTTGACGATATGCAAGAGGATAATAGCGATTATGAAGGAGAACACATCTATGAATCGGCCGAAGATTTCACGAGGGACCGTGATGTTTCATACTACGAAAACGCGTACGATTTGCCGCAAGATGCTCTCGCAAAGTGTCTTGGGAAGCCTAACAAGTTTGTGCTAAAGCACGTGCTTCACGAAGATACCGCGGAAGATCAAGAGCCGAGCCTGAATTTAGGGATGGAATTCGTGAACAATAACGAGGTAATGGTTGAGGGTGTGGATGTGAAATTGAGGCCAACCAGAGGAAGTACGTTGTACTTACATCACGAAGGAAACGACGAGAGTGATAACAGAGCCTCAAATTGCTGATTTTTCTGTCGGCGATGAATATAGTGACGAGATATTATACAAAGAATGCCTCCCAACATCGACACAAGGGCACTAACGGAGGCGACTACTTTACAAAATATTTTGGCTATATCCTCGCGCTTGGGATTGTGATTGGCTCAAGATGAAAGGGAAGCACCGTATATAGGTGGGCGAAACATGAGGATCTTGCCAATATATTTAAAGGGTAAGGGCGATGGAATTCAAGTCTTTATGGAGAGAAAGAACTCGTTAAATTGTGAAATAAGTTATTTTACAACTTTTCTTTACCTCTTGTCATTCTTCGGATATTTCAGCATATTTGATATGCAAACGAAATAAATCTTTGACGTCACAAGCTGGTAAAATATTTTCAAATATGGCAGTCACGTCAAAGTCATATACAGCTATTTCAAAAATGGTTGTCCTTTGCAAACCTTAAACTCTAAACCTTAAACCTTAAACTGTAAGCGTGCAAAGCATAATGGGAGCTGCAATATTCAACTACTAAGCTTGAAACTTGTGCTCCCATTAAACTTTGCGCGCTTAGAGTTTAAGGTTTGCAAAGGACAACCTTTTCTGAATGGACCATTTGCATTATAGACTAAATTTTGATCTAGACAAAAATTTCATCACAGCTTGAAAGAGCATCGCAAAATTAGTAATATTCCAAAGTTTCGTTGCGAAATGTTGTAAAGTGCGGATAATATAGCCTTGCGAAGTTTGCCGTTTTTCAGTCATTTTGTATTACGCACGGGAAATTGACAGCCCAATCGGGTGTTGGGGCATCAATTTCCGGTTTGTAATACAAAATGACTGAAAATTGCAAATTTCGCAGGGTTATATTATCCGCATTTTACAACATCTCGCAACGAAACTTTGGAATATTACTAATTTTGTGATGCTCTTTCAAGCTGTGCACGTGATGAGCTAGATCAAAATTTAGTCTATAATGCAAATGGTCCATTGCATGGCTGTATAAAGCTCATTGTTCAAAACAGATGAAATCATTCAGATAATTCAACTTTGGCTTAATATCGCGCGTTAATTAATATGTCAATAGATTTGCTTTTTCGTACTTATAAAGATCAGGGGCCGGTTGTATAAAAAGTGATTAAAGAGAAATGGCAATATAAATTTTTATTTTCTAATTTGAAAGAACTTTTGAAACTATTTAATAAGTTCTTTTACCGATTCTTCATATCTCGTAGAGTTCTTGAAATATTTTCACTTGAAGTAATGAGATGTCCGCCATCTTGGATAAATTTTTGATCTCATTAACGGTAGTTTTGGTGACGTCACAACAGGGATTAACCATATAAAAGTATTCGTTGCTGACCAAATATTGATTGGCAGATGTTTTAAAGGTTTCAAGTAATCTTGATATTTCCAAGGACATGCAGAGTATAATTTTGAGTGCAAAATGATTAGTGGTTGTCTAGATAAAAATATTGCGTGACCCCTGTTGTGACGTAACATGCATATCTACAAAAATCCAAGATGGCGGACATTTCATTTCTTTCGATTAAAATATTTGTAGACGTAAACAAGATATGAAAAAACGGTGAAAGAGTTTTATATATGGTTTTAAATGTTCTTTGAAACGAGAAAATAAAAAAATATATTGCCATTTCCCTTTAAAGTTAAACTATAGTTAGTGGAAACGTCATCCAATAAGAAGCGCGTATTTGAGAGTTAATATTTCAAACGAAATGAAGTATCGTCTAACCGAAGAAAGATATAAAAAGTTTGTAAAATACTATATTCTACATTCTAAGGAGTTCTTTCAATCGAAACGTACTTACGAGTTGTTGCTAAATATCCTTTAAATTTTCATCATCAATCTCTCAAAGACATACTATTATAAACTGCGCAATTTAAGTGAGGTCTACCATGATTTTTTTTACCATAAGAGCTGGTATATGACGACTTTGAAGAAAATAGTAGCAAGTTATTTAATAAAAAAATGGATCAAATAAATTCGAAGAATAGAATTTGCTCACATATTTCCTGAGAAATATGTGAGCAAAACTCAATTTTCAATAATTCGTGCAAATATTGGCCAATAGAAATAGTAGAAATAATAGAACTGATTTAGTCTTAGTTCTAAGATGAAAAAAGTCTGTAAGTCTACGAGAGAATTGAAACTGTGACATATAACTGGAGTAGTAGCTTCAATTCAATTCACAGAATGAAAAAAAAGTGAAAAAACGAGCTCACAGGATACACTGCGATAGAGACAGCAAAAACAAATCCAAGTTTATGAAAACTGGTACAGATTGTAAATAATATTAAATTCATATATATACAAATTCTGTAAAACATATATATCTTCTGTATTTTTCTATAATTGTAATATGTCTGAAATGTGTGTATATTTTTTATATACTACTAGATTGAAAAAATATAATACAGTATGCGGGTGAATAATATATTTGTTATTTTTTATCACACAGACATATACATATATCATCTGATATTACTCTATAATTGAATATTTGTGATTGTAGCACGATTTGCCAGTATTGTTCAAAGAGTAATTTCCGTGACTATAATTTTTCCTTCCAGCTTAGAGAGTCGAAGCGCTCCAGGTAATTTCAGTTCAGTGTTTAATCACACATCACAATCTGAATGTCATAAACGACGGATATTTTTCATCTGAATCATCCTTGTCATTTTTCTCCGGTATTGTGAATTCCGTTTCGGTAATTTCGTTTTCAGATTCATTGGCGGTGCCTATATGAGTTTGGACTGGGTTCTCAGTGTCTGGGCGTTGAGTCGCGGGAGATTGCATAGCTTGTTCACCCGGCTTTTTATCTGAAATGGAAGGTGGAAAATATTAAGTAAACAAGAAATTATGTACAAAAGTAAAGTGTCAAAACATATATAGTCAATTGAAAAAGATTAACTAATAGCTCTGTTAGTTCGAAACTGTTCTTCTAAGAGGTACTGTGAGGGCGACCCCTTATTGACCCAGTCTTACTACAGGAGGAAACCTAAACTAAACTAACTTTATTTATACTGGATAGCTCTATCAGTTCTAAACTGTTCTCCCCAGAGGTCCAGTAAGGATTATCTCTTATTGATCCAGTGTTATTACAGGAGGAAACTTCAACTAAACTAACTTTATTTACACTAGATAGTTCTATATCAGTTCTAAACAGTTCTTCCTAGATGTCCAGTAAGAATCATCTCTCATTGATTCAGTGTCACCACAGGAACGGAAACCTAAACTAAACTAAACTAAACTAAACTAACTTTATTTAATCTGCATAGCTCTATCAGTTCTAAACTATTGTTCCTAGAGGTCCAGACGTCCAGTAACTGTCATCCCTTATTGATCCAGTGTCACAAAAGGAGGAAACCTAAACAAAACTAACCTTATTTATACTGGATAGTTCTATCAGTTCTAAACTGTTCTCCCCAGAAGTCCAATAAGAATCATCTCTTATTGAAAGGAAAACCTAAACTGAACTAACTTTATTTCTACTGTGTACTACTATTAGTTATCCAGATACACCAGTAAGAGTCGTTCCGTATTGATCCAGTGTTACTACAGGAAGAAACCTAAACTAAACTAACTTTATTTATACTGGATAAATTTGTCTGTTCTAAACTGTTCTCCCTAGAGGTCTATCTCTTATTATGGTCCAGTGATTGTGCAAACTGGAGTACCCAGAGAAAATCTGCGGAGTTCAGTAGAGTCAAACTGGAAGCACTCTTTCACATGCGACTGGGAGGAATGTATTGGTAGAGTCATGGTGATGGAAGACCTATGAACCAGTCACTGTGTTACCAATATCCATTGATCAACTGAAGCACAAATTGCAAAAGTAACATTATGGAGTCTCTTACTGATCACTTTATATTTCTTGGTTCTAAAAATTGAACGATAAATGAAATTTATATCAGAATGTTTTAAATTTGTGCACAGTATGATTGTAATGTTTCTTGCTGGTAATATGTCATTTGCATCAACGAGGATCCCGCTTACGGATCAAAACCCTAGAATATTATAGAAAGCAATTTGTTGTTGCCATTGATGTTGTTACTCTTGTCAAAGTCCTCGTTGGTTGTTGTTGTTGCTGTTGTCGTCATCGTCGTTGCTGCTGCTGTTGTTGTTGTTGTTGTTGTTGTTGTTGTTGTTGTTGTTGTTGTTGTTGTTGTTGTTGTTGTTGTTGTTGTTGTTGATGTTGATGTTGCTGCTGCTGTTGATGTTGCTGTTGCTGTTGTTGTTGTTGTTGTTGTTGTTGTTGTTGTTGTTGTTGTTGTTGTTGTTGTTGTTGTTGTTGTTGTTGTTGTTGTTGTTGTTGTTGTTGTCGTTGTCGTTGTCGCTGTCGTTGTCGTTGTTGTTGTTGTTGTTGTTGTTGTTGCTGATGCTGTTGCTGTTGCTGTTACTGCTGCTGCTGTTGTTGTTGTCGTTGTTGTTGGTGCTGTTGTTGTTGGTGCTGCTGTTGTTGTTGTTGTTGTTGTTGTTGCTGTTGCTGTTGCTGTTGTTGTTGTTGTTGTTGTTGTTGTTGTTGTTGTTGTTGTTGTTGTTGTTGTTGTTGTTGTTGTTGTTGTTGTTGTTGTTGTTGTTGTTGTTGTTGTTGTTGTTGGTGTTGCATCAGCTGTTGTTGTAAGTTTGTTGTTGTTGTAAGTTTGTTGTTGTTGTAAGTTTGTTGTTGTTGTTGTTGTTGTCGTTGTTGTTGTTGTTGCTGTTGTTGTTGTTATTGCTGCTGCTGTTGTTGTCGTCGTTGTTGTTACCGTTGCTCTTGTTCTTCTTTATGCTTTTGCTTCAAAAACAGTTTTCAGCAATTTACTTTTATTTTAACACAGTAAAATTTACATTTATAACTATACAAAAACGCAATTACCTAAGCTAAGGTGGACAATAATACGATTGTTATTACTAGCTAGTTTATATTATATTATTAGCAACAAAACTAGGAACATTATTACTATATTATAATGCGGCTAAAAATTCATTTATATAGTTTTAAGCAAACGAAATATTAATCTAATTCGACTAGCCACCTTCTCTAGTATGAATTGCCTGTATATTAACTTTTCAATGGTGTCAAGAAATGAATGTAGTTGTTCTCGTATCTTTGTGTTAACCATGGCTTTGCTTTAAAGTGGTTTAATATTATTCAGTATACCTGTTCTTCCAAAGTCGAAGACCAATGAATAAACAACAAACAAGTGAAAGCACCACAAACGCCACCGTTGCTATGACAATAATAATGACGACAGCAACAGGATCAGATGCAGTAGCTTTCGGGTCTGATGCAATGGCAGAACTCATTGACGACCCCACCTGGAGACGGAAAAATACAACTTCTTATACATTTATATATTACCCCTTTACCCTTGTCATGATATTGTGACCTGATATAATGTACAAAACTTGTCAGTAGAGTTAAGTGTCCCTGAATTAAGCATAGTTGGATGGTAAAATGGTGGTACATGGAACGTAAGTTACCTTAAATGATCTGATATTGTACAGAACTCACTGCTGAGTTAAGCATGGTTAGATTATGCAGAGGTAGTACATGTTCTTGAATGTGGGCCACCCTTAAAGTGATCTGATGTTGCACACATCTTACTGCTGCGTTTAAAAACATGGTTAGATCATGCAGAAGTAGTATATGTTCTTGAATGTGAGATACCTTAAAGTTCTGATATTGTACAGAACCTACTGCTGAATCTTAATTCATGGTTTGATCATACAGAGTTTTAGTACATCTAGGTTCTTCAGTGTTAGTTATCTTAAATGGATCTGGTGTTGTACAAATCTTATTATGTGTTACATGAAAGAAAGTTTTAAAGTTTATGTTGAAAGATGGATGAAGCTTACCTTTGTGTTTGTTGGTTTAACGACAGTCTGTGGCGACATTGACATGGTGATAGTGAATGAAGGTTTCGTAATGTACTGGTTTATGGTGGTCGACATGGTACGTTTACTACTCCTGACTGTGGTTTTATAAACAGATATTGATGATGTATAATCACTCATTTTTGATTTGTGATCAGTCATTGATAATTTGGAAGCAAAGCTGGCAGACGTATAATCAATGGATGATTGCATATGATCTGTTTTCGATTGTTCAGGAACTGCTACTGATGAAACTTGATCGATTATTGATGATGTATAAGCACTCATTCTTGATCTGTGATCACTCATTGATAATTTGGAAGTGAAGCTTGAAGACGTATAATCAATGGATGATTGTGTATGATCTGTTTTCGATTGTTCAGGAACTATTACTGATGAAACATGATCGATCATTGATGATGTATAATCACTTATTCTTGATCTGTGAACAGTCATTGATAATTTGGAGGCAAAGCTGGCAGACGTATAATCAATGGATGATTGCATATGACCTGTTTTGGATTGTTCAGGAACTGCCATTGATGAAACATGATCGATTATTGATGGTGTATAATGATTTGCTGACAGTGTATAATCAGTTATAGGTTGTTTGGGATGGACAGTTACGGACGAAACATGGTCGATAATTGATGACGTATTATCACTTGTTGATAATGTATAATCAATTGTAGATTGTGTTGGAACTATCACTGATGAAACATTATCAATTATCGATGAAGTGTAATTGATCATCGATAGTTTAACGGACGATTTATAATCACTCACCGATGATGTAAAATTTATGGACATCGCCATTAACGCAGAAGACGGTGTGATTTCATAATCAATTATTGATGACGTATAATTGATTGATGATCTGTGATCAATTGTTGATGAAATATCACTATAGGATTTATAATCACTTACTGATGACGTATAATTAACCACTGACGGACTATAACCAGGAACTGAGGGTTTGTAATCAATGATCGATGAGGTATAATCAATTGTAGATCGTGCGGGAACTGTCACTGATGAAGCAGTATCAATTATCGATGAAGTGTAATTGATCATTGATATTTTAACGGATGATTTATAATCACTCACCGATGATGTAAAATCTATAGAATTCGCCATGAAGTTAGAAGACGGTGAGATTTCATATGATCTATGATCAATTGTTGATGATGTCTGATTATAGGGTTCATAGTCAATTACTGATGACGTATATTTAATCACTGTCGGACTATAGCCAGAAACTGAGGATTTATAATCAATGATCGATGAGATATAATCAATTGTAGATGATATTTGATCTATTGTAGAGGACATCTTATACAGACTCGTTGACGGTTCGTGGGCAGTCGGGGTTGGTTTCAAATCAATGGAAGACATCGGCTTAAATTGGGACGACAGTTTTACGCCAGGTATGTTTGAACTAAATGTTGTTTCCTTCCCTTCCGAAACCGAAGGAGAAGGCTCTGGATTTGGCCCGGGTGTCAACCCGAAAATTGGCAATTTAATAGTTTCTGTAGCTTTCAGGAGCTGAGTGGACCCCAGCTGAGGTGAGGAACGTTGAACGGAAATAGCTTCAGTTTGTAAGAGCGTTGTTCTGGTCGCAGCAACGGATTCTGTTGGCGGCTGTGAAATACTTATCGTTGGCGAACTTTGTATTATCAATGACGAACTTGGCGCAACTTTGCTAGAATCTATAAAATGAAAATAATATGTTTCATCTTTTAACATTTCATCTCCAGCTCCGTATTCACTTCTCTTTTCAATTAGACTCTTCTTTCGATGTTAACAGAATGCGCACTTGGAAAACCTACTGCTCTAATTGCCATTCTTTCAATTTAAGCTGTTGCTCATAATCTAACCTATTTATTTTTATATAGTTATGTAAATAGTGTTCTAGTCCTTGTTTTTAATGCATGCCTACTTGTTGTTTTGTATCAGGTTGGTCTTCACATGGGACTAATGTCCTGTTGACCATACCTTTAATCATTGTTATACTTTTCTATGATTGTAAAGTTAGTAAATATCTTTTCTCTTACAAATTAAATAAAACAACTAGCACGTTTTCTCTGATGAGTTCGTATGGGAAGTCCTACTTGCCATATTGCTCGTACAGGGTTCGTAGTCTCCAAGACAAAAAAATTTCAAAGACTTTCAAAGATTTTTTCTGCCTATTGTAAAAGACTTTTCAAAGACCCTTGCGAGCAATCAGGTGTCCAAAAATTGCGATATATAAGCATAATTTTTACCAGGTAAATAGTCCTGTCAAATCACATCCTAAAATGCACTTTTTCGTCATATTTTGCTTCAATCAATATATTTTATTAGTTAGAAAATCGTATAATCAAATAATCACTAAAGAATTTAAAGATAGCTTTTAAAGACTTTATTCGCTTTTTCACACACTTCAAAGACTTTTCAAAGACCTTAAGACCTGCATTCAAATTTAAAGACTTTCATGAGGATTTCAAAGACCGCTACGAACCCTGTCGTATACAGCAAATATTCTATGACAAATTTTTGTTTTGTAACCGCCACAAAAGCTACTGCGACAATATATCGCTGTCCATGCAACTACATCCGAGTGCTCAAATTTTCTAATTCAAATTTTCTTTGTTGACCCATACAGACGAGCAAAATTGTTATTAATTACTTTGCCATTTTTTTTCTATATCAAGTGCACCTGTTCAAAAGCTAATATGCTAGCTTTAATATACTAACAAGTGCGCACTTGTAATGTAGGCAAATTTGGCAAAATTGAATATACAGATGAGCGAACAGAACTTGTCGTATGAAAACGTGTCATAGAAAACTTGCTCGGCTGTATATCTAACCCCTCGAGAGTTGTCGGTTAACCGAGTCAAATCGAGTCAAATGTCTGAGTCACTGTTTAGCTGTCTTTGTAGTTGAATGCCTACTCCTAACCCTACTCCTATTCGATTGTGAATTTTATTCAATTTCGTCTTTTTTTACGTGACTCGGACATTTGAATCAGGATTGGAATCGACTCGGACATGAGTTGGTAAATGGATAATATTTAATCAACCCAACTTTACCAAGTTGGTTCGAGTTGGTGATATTTCGGAACTGATCTAGACTTCTAGTTCCTTCGATATCAATGTATGGCTAATATATGACTTTTTGTGTGTGTTGGTGTTATGTACTCAGGTGAATATGATGTTTGTGATGTTACTCTGAGTGTACATCCACACCGAGCAAGCTGAACAGTTTGCCTGACCACGGTGGCAATCGGTGACCTTGTAGCTCAGTTGGTAGAGCATTGGACTGGTATCCCAAAGGTAGCGGTTTCAATTCCCCCCGTGGTCAGGTAAACTTTTCAGATTGCCCGGTGTGGATGCACACTCAGAGTAACACCACAAACATAGCATAAGATGTTTCTATGATGTTACACTGAGTGTATATCCACACCGGCCAGGCTTGAAAAATATGCCTGGCCACGGTGGGATTCGAACCTACGACCCCTGGAATACTAGCCCAATGCTCTTCCAACTGAGCTACGCGGTCAGGTCGGTTCGATTTCATGATTATTCGATTTCATGATTATTAGATTACATTGATATCGAAGGAACTAGTCTCAGTTCTGAAATATCGCATACTCGAACCGACCTGACCGCGTAGCTCAGTTGGCAGAGCATTGGGCTAGTATTCCAAAGGTCGAAGGTTCGATTCCCACCGTGGCCAGGCACATTTTTCAAGCCTACCCGGTGTGGATATACACTCAGAGTAACATCAAACAAACATCTTATTCACCTGAGTAAATTACACCAACACAGCAGATTTCAACATAGCGTAAGTTAAACTTACTTGTGCAATCTTGCCGCCAGTTCGTTTCATTTCCAAGGAACGGCAACCTCACAGCACACCACGCTTCCTTACTGCCGCCCGCTCTCGTACAATTGTTATAAACCTGACCGTTGTATTTGAACGGCAGGATACAACATTCGCCATTCAATGCCCTCACAGTGCACTCCCCACCTGGTAAAAACAAAGATTAGACAACTCCCATTATAGACTAATTTTAAAACTAGGCAAGGAGATGCAAATAAATCACAACAGCTAGAAAGAGCATACTACAATGAGTAAAATTGCAACGTTTGGTTGCGAAATGTTGTAAAATGCGGAAAATATAGCCTTGCAAAGTTTGCAAATTTTGTATACTTTTGTATTGCGTGCGGAAATTGCTACCATTTTCGGACCAAATGTGGTAGGAATGTGGTAGCAATTTTCGCACGCAATACAAGAGTATGCAAAATTTGCGAACGTTCCAAGGCTATATTTTCCGCATTTTACAACATTTCGCAACCAAACTTGGTAATTTTACTAATTTTAGTATGCTCTTTCTAGCTGTTATGATTTATTGGCATCTTCTTGCCTAGGTTTAAAACTAGTCTATAATAGGAATTGCCTATTGTAAAAACATGTTCCGAATATTATTATTAGGATATTAAAATTTATCACAACACAAACATACAAATGGAATTACTGGCTGGTTTACACCATCAAAGTTTCTGTGATCACAGTAGGAATTTAGCACAGGTAAACTCTAAGTTTTGGAGGATTTTCAAGAGCTATTTGAGGGAACATGTTTAAGACGTCACTTCCATTTCTTATAAATCCTTCAAAATGTAGGATTTACCTATATGCAAAATTGTTACGGTGTTCACAGAAGTTTTGAGAGTGGAAACCGGCATTTACCGTTGTAGACTCCTGTAATTTTGCCAACGAAACATCTTCCCGCTTCTTTTACTTTTTCCGGACAACCTGTAAACACACCTCGCAGCAATCCTCCGTCATATCTTTCCGCACTTCTCGTCCACTATAGAAAGTGATTATCAAAAATATTAATAACCAGATACAAAAGACTGCCCACGCAAACACCTCACATCTTGTAGCAAGTCTACCAACAAGCCGTCAACAAGTTGTGTTGGCACTGCTTGTCCCAAGTTGTCAACAAGTATGAAACAAGCTGTTAACAGTTGTAACAAGCTTGTTGATATTATCAAACTTGTTGCAAGGTTGTTCCAACAAGTGCGATACAGTCATGATATAACAATATTGTTACAACATTGTTTGGTCAACCTTGTAACATTCTTGTTATTTCATGACTGTATCAGACTTGTTAGAACAACCTTGTAACATTCTTGTTATATCATGGCTGTATCAGACTTGTTAGAACAACCTTGTAACATTCTTGTTATATCATGGCTGTATCAGACTTGTTAGAACAACCTTGTAACATTCTTTTTATATCATGGCTGTATCAGACTTGTTGGAACAACCTTGTAATAAGTCTGATAATGCCTTCAAACTTGTTACAAGTTGTTAACAGCTTGTTCCAAACTTGTCACAACAACTGGGAACAAGCAGTGCGAACACAACTTGTCGACAGCTTGTGAACAACTTGTTACGTGCAGACCATATCAGACTTGTTGTAACAACTTGTTGCGAGTCTATTGGCCTCACCAACCTTGTTACAAGATGATAGAACAACTTGTTCCAGACTTGTCGACAACTGGGAACAAGCTGTGCGAACATAACTTGGCTTATCGTTGGAAGTTACTGCATTGGCAAATTAATGACACCACTCACCATAAAATTAAGAATATCAAAGCGGCCGTAAACAGCAGTCAATAAGCCAGTCTTCGGTGTGAAGACGCTGTCCTCAGGCATCTTAATAGCTGTCTCTAACCCTGTGCACGTGCTCAGGTCGTGATCAGCGAATGTCTGCAAACTTCCTGGTTTACTAAGGTCAAATTCCAACGCTTCTTCGTCGTCATTAGTATCTCGACCTCGACCAAGTTTGCGAATATGGAAACATTCTAAAATGATTTTTGTTAATAAATTATTTCGATAAAATAGTGTATATACTAGTCATTATAATTAAAGTAACATTACTTATTCAAAACAGCGACAGAAGCCTGCTATATGCACAGGTAAAAACGCACTAGTTGTACCGAAATCCGTTCACAAGCTGTCGACAAGTTTGTGTTCGCTCTGCTTGTTCCCAGTTGTTGTAACAAGTTTGGAACAACCTTCCAACAAGTCTGATAATATCAACAAACTTGTTTATACAAGTTGTTAACAGCTTGTTCCAAACTTGTCAGTGAGAACTAGGGACAAGCAGTGCGAACACAACTTTTTGACGGCTTGTTGGCAGACGTGCTACAAGATGTGAGATTTATTGCGTGTGCATAGATACTATAAGGATGTTGGGCACCTTCTGAACTCGTTGATGAAGGTTGTTTTAGATGGAAATTTAAGAGTATAAATTTTGATACATTTATTAGCTCTGGCAGGAATCGAAGCTGCGGCCCTGCGATTCTGGTGCAGCGCTCTAACCAACTCAACTACCGAAGAAGTTATTTCGCTGACCTCAGAATGACATTTCGTCAAAAGTTTTTTTTCAAAATTGGTTTAGAAACAAACTTGGAGTAGGGTTAGGTTAGGGTTAGGTCAAGGACTAGGGTTAGGGTTAGTGTTTGGAATAGGGTTAGTGTTAGTAAAACCGTTGCTTTGTTATACGTTTTGTCACTCTGAGGCAAGCAAGCAAGTCAAAGGGGTGTGCTAATTAATTAGCCTTACTTGCAGCTGAGCTGAATTACGAAGGACGCAGCTCAACCTAAAGGCTTTCTAAGGGCGTCTCTGGCAGCCATCCTATGACTCATGTCTGATCACGGAGCACAGCTACGATGGAAGGATCAGTTAGGGAGATAATCCCAACCCACCCTGTCAACATTCCCTGTGGGTGGAAATCGGAGCACCCGGAGAAAATCCACTAACTCTTTTCACACGAGTGTCATGCATGAGTCCGTAGCGAGAATTGAACCCACGATCTCTGAGGTGAAAGACGCTTGCTGACGATTGCGCCATTGAAGCCTCTTTATAATTTAACGAAATCTATTTAAATTTAAATCTATAAAGGTTTTTGAAGCAATAATATAAGCAATAATATAGAAATGTAAAAACTGCTTAAAAGTGGAACAATTGAGTGGGCTTTTAAATTTTTTTATCATTTTCAGGAAAATTTTTTAAATTTTAATTCTTTTGTGTTATGCCCTGTTCGGAAGTCATTTGCTGGGCTTTAATATTTTTATCTTTAAAGAATAAATTTAATCAGCTATAACACACGTTTATTAATTATTGCCTTCGAATTCTCGCACTCAAGTAATTTAAATGCTTGGTAACCTTTGTTCCATTCTATATTACGCTTACATTGTCAGAACAGTGGTAACTATGCATTAGTAACTAGACAACGCGAGTTATCTAAGTTGGATGGCAACAGGCATCGATATTCTTTAACTGTCTTTACCAGTGCCAATAATATGAACAAGCTTTCTTTGGTAGGGATAGAACACCTCAAAAATATATAAGGAGAATTTCAAGGTAGTCACATCTCTACCAATGAAAGCATGTTCACAAATATGCTTTAGCCGGCCAGCAATCTTTCATGAAACCACGAATTCAATAACTGATGAATCGTTAAGCCAACCAGTCAATTATTCCTTCAATTAATGTTGGTATCAGCCAGGCAGCTATATTCATTCAGATGGTTAAAATCAACTAGTCTACAATTAAGGATTTTGGGCATATACCCATGGTCGGATTTTGAGGGAAGGTGTGGAGAGGTGCGCACCTCCCCTGAGATCGTTCTACCTCCCCTGAGAATTTTTGCACCTCCCCTAGACAAAAGTGAAAATTTGACATTTTTTGGTTGCATAGGGACTGCACTTCGTAAGGACTTTTTTGTAAAATGGAAACAGTGATAGCCCTTGATCTTTGTGTCAAGTGCCTTTTGAAAGAAACTTTGTAGTAATTGTGATGAAGGGCAAAATTGGATGAGTTGTGCAGTCATAATTCATCAATACACTGATACATATGTGCACTACATGCATACGTCACGTCGTTGACTTTGGCCCATTCTAAGCGCTAACTTTCCATGGGGGTCGTGAGCTAGACCGCTGCACCTCCCCAAAATTTTTTCCAACTCCCCCACTATTTCCACCAAAATCCGGCCTTGGATATACCCCTATAACATTGGCTGCATCTCCTTAGCCCTTACACCTCTCTTGTGTAAAGGCTAAGGAGATGCAGCCAATGTTATACATGTGGTTAGAGCTTGACAACTGGTCTCTATAGCTCAGTTGGTTAGAGCGCTGCACCGCAATCGCAGGGCCGCAGATTCGATTCCTGCTAGAGGACCTATATAGTTGCATTTTCCGCAACTGTATACCTGGTTAGGTCTAATAGATGATCCAGCAAAAGACTAAATTTTGATCTGGGCAAGAAGAATAAAATCCATCACTACAGCTAGAAAGAGCATGTTATAATTGGTAAAATTGCAAACTTTGGCCGCGAAATGTTGTGAAATGCAAAAAATATAGCCCTGCGAAATTTGAAAATTTTGTGCAGTTAATTTGTATTAACGCACGAGAAAATGCACCACTTTCGCCCAAAAAATGGGTGTGCGTTTTCCCGTGCATAATACAAATTAGGCCTAATACTAAATTTGCAAATTTTGTAGGGCTATATTTTCATCATTTTACAAGATTTCGAAACCAAACTTTGCAATTTTACTAACTTTAACATGCTCTTTCTAGCTGTGGTGATGGATTTTGTTCTTCTTGCCTAGATCAAAATTTAGTCTGTAACTGGAATCACCATTATAGCTAATGTATATAAAATTCACACTCGAGATTCCATTTACAAATCCATCTACAATCCACAATTAACCACATAGTTTTCATATATCCCATTATAACATAGAACTTTTAAAACTGTTCTACTGGCGTGATGAAAGTATAGGGACACTTACCGTATCTATGATTGGAATGCCAAACACACCCCGGTTTGCCTTTGCTTTTAAATTGTCCTCTTTGAACAGGGAAAACGTCATGATCCCTGTACATGGGATACTTCGGCCAACAACGGCAAACGCACGGATCAAACTGACTTTTGTCCGAATGTAAAAAATAGCAAAAATCTGGAGTCTCTTCTGAACAACCTGTTAAATTCCTGAAGACATCTTGCTCCCCTCTGTCGATGACAAATTGAGCTTCGATAGCGACGAAAATGGATAGGAAAAAACAGAATATCTTCGCGAACATGATATTGTAGAAATTGCAGACGTCTGGTTTAATGTTCGCTGCCTTTAGGCGAGATTTTTTTACCCTTTGAATCAACTTCGATCGAGCTAGCTTTGGTTTTGTACTTAGTTACCGATTTCCAAATGGCAAATGACCGATGTTCAACACGAAATGTCAAAAACACGTCACAAAATGGTCAAAATACAGTAGCATTATCTGTTTTTCGTTTATCTCAGAACAATATAATGTCTATACTCGACGGCTTAGCCAATTTGCAACTACCAAACGTATATTACACATGAGAAATCGAGGTTCATATCTTGAATATAGGAATACAATTCCATCTTTGGCCGTAAAAAATGTGAGAGCTCGTTTGTCAACGTAAGTGCTCTTGTGCTTTCCTAAATCCTTAAACTTGTAGTGCACGAGATTGATGATGGAGGATTCTTACAAGCGATTTATCGCTGCTATAGAAATTTGACAGTCAGAAAGCAAAAATACATGCGTATATGTACAGTGGTTTAAAAACCCGAAGACTGAAATCCCATGCAAAGAACTTTTGGCTCTTGTATTTTCTGACGATGATTTTGTAATAGAATTTAAAGACTCATGCGCGTCCTCGAAGCTGTTATAACGTCTTTTGCGAAAATATTTCCTGCACTTAAATTGGTAAGACTCGCTCTCTGCAGTAGTGTCATGTTAATTAAATAAATGAAATTTTACGTGTGACTGTACTGTATCGTATGAAAGTGACTTTCGACCTCGTATTTTGTAGCAAGTACCTCATTCAGTCATAATGAAAACATTTTTCATAGAATTGAAACAACGCTCGCCCTCGTTAAGGCTCTTTCAATCATTTTGTCATGTATAAAGCGCCATATAAATTGTTAAATTATTATTATTAAGCTGTCGCGAACATCGTTCAATTGGCCATGATAAACTTGCTATAGCGGTATGCCCGTGGGCTCAATTGGTTAAGAGCGGCAATTCATTTCAACAATTCCCGAGAGCGAGTATTTACATGAGACAGTCATGCTCTTCGATGTGCTATAGAATAAGTTCTATAATGCGAGTGCAAAGCTGTATATTAAAACTTCAATATTCTCTCTTGACAATTGATAAACAACCGTCTGGAGTTAGACGCGGGAAGATAACAAATTATAGAGCGCGGATACGAATATATTTAATTTCAAAAGTGGGGGTCCATGAGTTTAAGTGGCATTCTTCAATGAAAATTATAAATTTCTATGGCTTATGCCCCTGCGACTATACCCGAGGAAAATTTGAAAGAATTCCTCCGATGCAACGAAACCCTCCCGACAATGAAATGGCTTTAACCTTTTTCAAACAGGCACAGACCACGACAATAAATATATTCCACAATATTCGAGTTTTAAAAGCTTTTATATACACATGAGGAATATATAGTTTCGGTAAAAAAGGTGCCGCTGTCAAATTAGCCCATTTCTCGGATGCCGCATCGATATTTGCTTAACATTTTATGCCGAGAATTCCTTTTATGGCCACATAAACACTGCGAAAGTTAAGTAGCGTCCTTTGGCCGATATTAATTAAGTTACGACAATCGAAAACTAAAGATGACCTGCTGTCGTTGCTTGGAAATGCAGTTTTGAGTATAATGCCGTACAAATTAATTATACAATGCTATATTTAACCCATTATCTATTTAATAATAGACAGGGTTCTCTCATCAACATTAAACCATTGAGTGCATGGCAGCACATTCCCCGGTAAAATTGTCTGGTGTTAGACAGAGTAAAATAAAAAATTCACATGTAAAAATCTGACAACCTGTCAACAAGATGTGTTCGCAACAGGCTTGTAGCAAGCTTGTCAACAGGTTGTAACAATGCTGTTGTTTTATCAAGTTGCTACAAGGTTGTCACTCACAACTTGTTGACAAATTGTTGAACTGCAGGACGATAACAAGTTGTTGGAACAACTTGTAACAATTCTGTCGAGCTCAACAACCTTGTAGCAACTTGTTAACAAGCTGGGAACAAGCAGTGCGAACACATCCTGTTGACAAGTTGTTGGAACAGCATTGCTACAAGTCTGCTGCAGGTTTGTTACAACTTGTGCGTTTTTGCGTGTGATAAGGTGCATCAGGGCGCATTGCAGCTTAAATGTCAATTTGTTGGGGGTTTTTAAACTATAACGCACCTTTATTTGTTGATCTTTGTCAAGGCTTCACTAAAAATTGAAACAAAAAAAATACAAAAGTTTCAATAAAATATTGGAAAGGGCTACAAAGTGCATATAAGTCATTCTAGGTCAAGAAAATTAACATCAAAACTTTTGCAATATGATGTTAATTTCTTTCATTCTGCAAATGCAAAATTTCATTCAATGTATTTTTCAATGCAGTCACTGTTTGAGGCGCCATGTTTTTTTCGGATTGGTTGCAATTACAACTGATATTAATTACTAACTAACAATTAATTAATACTTAATTAATTATTAATTAATTAATTGTTAATTAAGTAATTAATATTATTCATTTGCAAAAAATCATAATTCATTTGGTTAACAAATGTTAATTAATTAATTAATTAAATAATTAATTAATTAATTAGAAAACCCTAGCATTTATTGAAATTTATTACTTTTTATATATTTGTTAAACATCAGCAAACATTGATTATCACCAGTAATCATGATCGATTTCTTCGAATACTTAAAATCAAAATATGATCAATAATATCAATTGATCAATACTTATTTGCACTCTCAACAATAGTTGCCCTTGTCTATATATAGCATGCGTGTCAGGCCCTCAATTTTAGGGAAGGGGGCTGATTTGAAAATCAGGCCCCCATAAAATGAGGGCCTGCTGCTACGTATACTTCATGTTATATCCAATATTGTACAGCATGATATGTAAAGACGCAAAAAAAGTCGGTGTAATAATGTGATAATATGAGCTTTAATATCCATCTTAAGCTAAAAATGCAATAGATTTACAGAAATCACTAAAATCTATATACAACAATATCAAGTTACTTATATATATAATATGATTGAAATTGAATATAAAATAGCTAAAATGAGTAAAATTTACCAGTAAGATGGGAATAAATGAAATGTCATGTCTTTTGGTGTGAGAGAAATATATGGTTGGATCCTCAATGATTTGGATTCTTGCACTTCACTTGGTGGAATTAATATTAGAATGTTAGGGTTTGTAATCCAAGTGAGTATATATACATTTTAAGACCTAACCAGGAACGACTGCGAAAATGCAGCACAAGGTCCTCTGGAACCTACGGCCGTGCGATTACAGAGGCCAGCTGTTGAGCTGTAACCGTAAGTTCATGTATATATAGGTAATCGGGTGTGCGGGTTGTGACAGCTGGGCTCTGTAGCTCAATTGGTTAGAGCGCTGCACCGGAATCGCAGGGCCGTAGGTTCAATTCCTACCAGAGGACCTTGTGCTGCATTTTTCGCAGTCGTTCCTGTTAGGTCTTAAAATGTATATATATACTCACTTGGATTACAAACCCTAACACTCTAATGGTCGAATCCTACCAGACTACCAGTTCTAAAATCATAATGATTGGTTTTTACACTAGGAACGAGTTTATTACATGGATGTGTCAGATCTTTAAGGATTTTTTCATATTCCGTAATGGTACAAATGTACAATTTTCTCTGATAGAAAGTTTGAGTTTTTGAATTTAGATTTAATTATTTACAATCAGTTTATATCTACGATTAGACAGTATCAAAGTTACAAAACTTGTTTCTCTTTTTAAAAATGTTCCTAGAGAGCAACTGTACATTCGAGGGGCGATCATTTGCGTACTTACGTACTGAACGTTCGCCAATATTACATTCCGGTACTTCTTTGTTTTCGCTGACGTATAGATACGCGGTATTACCTGCGTATTTAGTACATTTTGCAGGTGTCATAGTAACTTTCCAAGGTATTGTTGCATTGATGGGATGAGAAAGAACTACCAAATGATGGAGTCAATATTACTGGTCAATACTGGATGAATATACCAGAGCTGTTTAAGGTGGTCATTCCCTTTAAATTGTGAATTTTTAAGAAAAATAATGAAAAAAAATTTATACTCTAAATAGGTACATTAAGTATTATACTTTAAGATAACATGTGTCTTTTGCCTACAAAAATCCTTATTTTTGAGAAAATAAGGCATCAAGAGGCTTTTTTTTTTAAATCTCCTCCATAGCAACGCCTTAGCAACGTGTTTTCGTTCCAAATTTGCATGATTATTTCACTCACAAAGAGATTTTTTTAAATTCAACTTTTGATGTATGTTATTTAAAGCAATGCTGGCAAATCTCTTTGTGATTGGTGCATTTTTGTCGGCACGACAACGCACTGACTTTGCCACAGATGAGGTAAATACAGATGTGAATCTCGCGGCAAATTATGTCACACCATAGCCGATTAAATAAACTTTAAAATTGTATTAATTCACTATTTTATTAAATTTTGATAATGCAGAGAAATAAAACTATACATATTATAGAAGTATTCATGTTTTTTTTATGCCAGAGTTATGTTTTGAGGAATTTATATCATTCGCTGTTTTGTTATTATACATGAGCATCTGAAATTCCCAGCAAGTGTATTTCACGATTTTAATAAGAAGTAGATAGGGAAAAAAACAAACTTTTGCTAAATAAAATGTTACATAACACTTTTAATAAAAAGAAATCAATAAAAGTGATCGCTTACCGTTACTCTTGAAGAATTAATGCCAAAAATAGCCGTCGGTAGCGTAGACTTTTTAAAAAAACAATTTTTCGTCTTTCGAACGGCGTTTTCCTATCTCTTTCCTTATTAAATTTCAGAACGACACTTGCCAGCGCTCGCCGGAAGTGAGAATTCCGTGTGACACAAAAAATCAGCAATTTGACGGAAGATTCACATCTGTACCTACCTCATCTGTGACTTTGCCAACCTCGAGGTCGAGTTCTCAGCAAGCTGTGTTAAATTTGTCGTAGAAAATCGCTGTTTTTTTGCGTTTATAAGTCGAAACGTTTCTCTAAAAGTTTAGAATTACCAGTCTTGTGTAGTTCTGGTTGAAATTCGAAATAAACAGATGGGAAATTCAAGAAATCGATAAAAAAAAAAAGCGAAAGATTCCACCGTCAAGGAAACGATTCGTAATCCAAGATGGCGAACAAATGTTTAGTTTATTTTATTTATTTACCCACAAATAATATTTACAAGTTGAATATTTAAGAATATATAAACGGGCTAGAGACCTCTGGAAATCCTGTTGGACTTTTAAGACGAGGCCCCTATAGTTTTAGTGTTCAGTAATATAAAAATAGATTATGTACATAAGGACAATTTGCAATGAAAAACACAAAGTATTTACAAACAAATATGGAAAATGTTTAAGGAATATTTAGTACATTACAGAATACTGTCATTAATATTCCTGAAATATTTACATCAACTAGACATCAAGTAATAAGATTTTGCAGTTTTCTTAAAGGAAAAATATGATTTAATATTTTTAATTTCTTCATCAAGGCAATTCCATATAGAAACTCCTTTGTTAAAAATACAGTGTATTTGCGATAGTTTGTTCTCTTATAGCTCACATGTAACTTGGTAGAATTTCGAGTATTATAGTTGTATAGTTCGTTATTTTGTTTGAAGTAATCATTATAAAAGTCCGGCAAATTTTGACAATAATTGAAGCGATACATGAATAAACTGCATAGATAATCATTAATTTTGTAGATATCCAAGATTTTCAATTGTAAAAATATTGGTTCAGAATGATCCATATAAGATTTAAAACAGATTAGTCGTACAATTTTCTTTTGCACATTTAGTAAAACTAGATTTCCGTACGTGAGGTATGGATAGACCAATGCATAATAAATCAATTTCGAAGTGTTTTTGTTCGTAAAATGTCTTAGTTTAGCAATCATACCCGCAGATTTAATTATGTTTTTCAGAATGGAGTTGATGTGGTTCTTCCATGTCAACTCTTGATCAATTAATACACCTAGGAATTTTACCCAAGGTACTTGTTCAACTACCGGGTGTCCCAAAAAAAAGTACTCCCGTTTGATTCGTAATAACTTCTAAACAAGTAAAGCTTTTAAAGAGAAATAACTTGCATCAAATAGAGGAAGGACTAACTTAGATTTTGATATATTACAGTTGTATTTCACTTAAAAATTCACAGAGATATTAATGTTTAAAATCGGGAGCATATTTCTGGATGTGTTTGAAATATGCAAAAAACGGCGTATCAAATATTAATCAAGATTTGCCCGACTGAATTAAACATGCACTATTACCAGTAAATATATTACACTTGACAAATTGTTTATTATGAAACAAAGTATTATTATCTACAAAATCCAAGCAAGAATAAATTTATTCGTCCGAAATCCGCGTGTGTTCCTAGCACGAATACGTCAAGTTCCTTATTTCATGAGACCACTGCATCGCGCAAAGGATCGTCATGGGTCGTTCGTAATTTTGAATTAGGGCATGCTGTCACAATGGAATTGTGAAGCTCTTATAACTTCTGCAACGTTCTAAAATCTTGTCAAGAACACCCAAACTCTTTTGCCTTTCTTGATCCTGGCAAGTTCAGAATAAAGTGAGAATAAAACACAATCAAACCATACAACTCCATAAGAAATAACAAGCAACTCCCCAGAGACATCCAACATTTTTGGAACAAAACGTAACAAAAAAATAGTAGCGTTGATACTGTGATGTGTGTCTGCAAAAAGCAATATTATTTCATTCATTAAAGAATAATATTCATCCTGCTCTAACCGAGAAATAATCAACTCTGTTTTGAACCCATGAAAAACAAAAAATAATTAGGCTATTTAAGAAAAATTTAAGCGCCTGTCTTGCATGGTCTTTCATGTACCTTTAAGTTTGTAAAGACCTATTAAATAATTTCGAACATTCATATTTAAGGAAACAATGAGCTAAGACTTACATGTAAGATGTCTAAATCTACGCCATATCCCTTACAAACCCTAACAACAATTCGCTGGAATACAAATTAGCCTGATATGTCATTAAGCAAACAAACGCTGGAGTTAATATTTGATATGCCGATTTTCGCAAATTTTAGGCACATCCCAAAATATGCTCCCGATTTTGAACATTAATATCTCCGTGAATTTTTAAGTAAAATACAACTGTAATATATCAAAATCTAAGTTAGTCCTTCCTCTAATTAATGCAAGTTATTTCTGTTTGATAGCTTTACTTGTTTAGAAGTTATTATAAATCAAACCGGAGTACTTTTTTTTGGGACACCCGGTATATCATTATTTAATTTTACTATGATTTCTTGATGCTGTGACTTATTTTTTGATTTAAAAATGACAAATTTTGTTTTCGATGCATTGATTGATAATTTATTGGCGTTAAGCCATCGCACAACTTCATTCATTTCATTTTGTATAGTACTAGCTAAAGTTTTTAGGCACGAATTTGAATAAAAGGCATTTGTATCATCGGCATATAAGACAAAAGAAAGAATTTTACTGCAGTTTTCAATGTCATTAATGTATATTAGAAATAGTAGTGGTCCAAGAATTGAACCCTGTGGGACGCCAGTCCTAACACTCATTTCAGTTGACCTATGTTGTTTATATTTGACCATTTGAGTTTTTTCCTGTAAATAATTTATAAACCATTGTAGACCTATTCCTCTAATTCCATAGTGTTGAAGTTTTTTATGAGAATTTCGTGATTGACAGTGTCGAAGGCTTTAGAGAGATCAAGGAAAATACCTACAGTATATTTACCTTCATCTATTGCTTTGGATATCTTATCGGTTATTTCAAGAATGGCATGCTCAGTTGATCTATTTTTTCTAAAACCAAATTGATGTTCTGAAAGTATACGATGTTTTTCAACATAGTTAATTAATCGCTTGTGCATAAGTTTTTCAAGTAGTTTTGAAAAACAAGTTAATACCGATGTAGGTCGATAGTTTTCAAATAGATTATTTTCCTTAGCTTTGAAAATAGGAGTAACTAAAGCTATTTTCAAAAAAATTGGTATTTTTCCAGTTTCAAATGATAGATTATAAATATATGTTAGAGGTTTAATTATTTCTTCACTGATGATCTTTATCATTTTCGCGCTTATGTCATCATGTCCTGCACTTTTAGTTTCACTTAAGTTATTAATCTCAATTTGCAGCTCATATTCAGTCACAGGTTCTATAAACATACTTTCAACATAGTTGCCATTAAGGTAGCTTTCATACGTTATGTTATCATTTTTGGGAATTTTTTTCGCTAGTTGTGGACCAATTTTCACAAAATATTCGTTAAATTTGTTAGCAATTTCCAGAGGATTTGAAACATCATTATTTGAATTCTTCTGTAAAAAAGTATCGGGTAGTTTTGATCTGGTTTTATTTCTGTTAAGAACTTCGTTAATAGTTTGCCATGTCTTTTTAATATCATTTTTATACTTAAGAAATTGTGTTTCATAAAAGGCCTTTTTTGTATTTTTTATAGGCTGTTTCATTTCTATAAGATGGCTTTTTTAGAAAATTTTTATGGAGTTTATTTTTCTTGGATATAGATTTAAATATACCAATTGTCATCCAGGGACTTTTTGTGTGATCCACAGTTTTCTTTTTTATTTTTGCTAAAGGAAAACATCTATCAATTGCAACCTTCAAGTTATTGTGAAAATTCGTATAGGATTCACAAGGGTCATTGGTTTCGAAAGTACTTTCCCACGATATATTTTTCACAGATAGTAAAAACGAAGCAAGATTATCTTTGTCGACCATTCTTCTATAATGTGCATTTCCTCTTTTTGTATTATTTTTATTTGTGGATGAAGAAGCTATATGAAATATGGGGAGATGATCTGAAATATCTGAGAAAATTAGTCCATTTACACCAGAATCTATTTGCTCAAGATTGTTTGTAAAGATATTATCAATTAACGTGGCTGTATGCTGCGTAATTCTAGTTGGTCTATTTATCAGCGGATAAAAAGATGAAGTAAAAAGTTGCTCACAAAATCTATTGGAATAATCGCAATCATCCGATTTCAAAAGATCAATGTTAAAATCCCCCGTCAAATATGTTATTTTCCCTGTTTTGTCAACTTCGGTTAGTATTGCATTTAGTTTATTTTCAAACATTTCAAAATTACCACTTGGCGGTCTGTAGATAGTACCAACAATTATATTTTTACCAGTTGTTGAAATAATTTCAATGAAAAGTGTTTCAACTATTCCATCTTCGTTTATATTTAGGTCAGTTCGTAGTTTGTAGTTTAAATTATTTGAGATAAAAATTCCTACTCCACCGCCCTTTTTATTAGCTCTGTTTGAGCAAACAAAATCAAAATTAGTAAGATGGAAATTTTCATTGTAATTCCCATGTTTAGACAACCGAAAGTTTAGTAAAAGTTAAATGTTACTTTCCAGTTCAGTTATGCTGTGTGATATGCAATAACAGGCACATATACCTACAAAATATGTATAATTATATATACTAAATCTTGAACAGCATTTAAGGCTGTACTTCACAAACATGTACATGTATTTATCTGCATTGCACATGCAACTCTTTCTAAATTACTTAATTTGCAATAAAAATTAACCATTAGCCATTCAGAAGTTGATGAAAGGACTGGGGACGAGTGTTAAAAAGTGCCCAAATTATGAAATGAAATCACTAAAAAGACCACCTCAAAATTAGTAAGTATACAAAGTTTGAAGACGACTTACATGGATACCCTTGGAATAACAAGCTTTCAAAAATTGTGAAATTACTGATTAAAAGATTGTTTTTGGGACATGCGTCCCATAAACGAAAATTACAATAGATTTCATAGTAAATATCACAATTTTTAAGAGATTGTCTATTTGGCGTGGGTGGGTGGGTCGTGCGTCGTGGGCTGTGCGTCAGTAAATCGCAAAAAAAAAATTTAAGAGGCTGTCTCTCTAAGAACCGACCAATGACTCTCGGCTCATAAAATGAAATTCTTCGTTACTTTCACAATGAAATGTATTTGCCCCAAGAACAAACAAACACTATTTGGAATTTTGAAATTTTATTAATTTTTAAAATTTCAGCGACTTTTCGGCCCCGTGCCGTCGGGCAGAAAATCCTCCGCCCTAATCAGGAATAAAAATTAGCCAAATTCAAATACATATAATCCTAATCAGGAATAAAAATTAGCCGAATTCAAATACATATAATTTTAAAAGTATTCAACCAAATTTTATGATTTTTTCACCCACCAACGTGAAAATTATTCTACTTTGAAACTTGCCTTGTTTTATGATACTTTTACAGAAAGATTATGGCGAACTTTAGCGATAACAAGCACCGGGTGTAAATACGGCTTTGTACGCATATCAAATTCGACTTTAAATTTCTCAAAAGTGGCACCTAATTGGATTCAGTGACTAATATGGTTAAAAAAAGGGAAGTTTGAAGTACCCATTATCCATAATAAAACTTGTTACCAACCGCGATTTGAAGACTCGACAGCCTCTGAAATTTGATACAATTTGGCTATTTTGTCTAGCTTCAATTATAGCGGAGTTGAGACGTCAGAGATTCCAGTCACTTGTAAAATGCGCTGTTGTTCCGTTTTTTTACACCAGCCGTTAATATCATCGTAGTTAAGCGATTTTTCTGTGTTCATGAACATCACAAGTGGATTTAATTCAAAAAGATTTCTATCGATGCAGTGAGATGCAGTGAAGTATTATTAAACGTGGTATGCTTTCGTATTAAAATTAGCTACTCGGGGAAAACCCGGAAATTATTGTCAAATTGACAATGCTGATATTTATTAATCTAAACTCTGTATGTCTATTCTGCACGATTGGGAATGAATTTAAGAGGTTATCTCTCTATGAACCGACCAATGGCTCTAGGCTCAAAAAATGAAATTCTTCGTTACTTTCACAATGTCTTTTATGATTTTTTCGCCCACGCACGTGAAAGTTATTCTACTTTGAAACTTACCTGGTTTTATGATGCTTTTACAAAACTATTATGGCAAACTTTAGCGATAACAAGCACCAAGTCCAAATACGGCTTTGTACACATATCAATTTCGACTTTAAATTTCTCAAAAGTGGCTCCTAACTGGATTCAGTGACTAATATGGTTGAAAAAAGGGAAGTTTGAAGTACCAATATCCACAATAAAACTTGTTACCAACCGCGATTTGAAGACTCCAGAGCCTCTGAAATTTGTTACCTTCAATTATCGTGGAGTTGAGACGTCAGAGCTTCCAGTCATTTGTAAAATGCGGTGTCGCTCCGGGTTTTTTTTTCACACAAGCCGTTAAGCGATTTTTCCGTGTTCATGAACATCAGAAGTTGTTTTAATTCGAAAAGATTTGGCTCGATGCAGCGAGGTAAACGTTGCAGCGAGGTAAACGTTACAGCGAGGTAAGCGAGGTAAAATAGAGTCATTGCTAATTTTGTCACTTCCCGTCATAAACAGTCTAATCATGCAACAATTACTGCCATTTATTAGCAGAAAACCAGAAACATGGCGTATTGTCTTGTTTCTATAGCTTCTCTTCCGTGTAATGCACAGCAATTCCATAAGTATATATTTGACAATTTCGATTCCCCACTATATCCTTCACATGATACTATACTTTATCGGGGGTAATTTATGCATCAATTAACATTCCCCTTTTTGAATACATTGTGAACAGTTTCTACCATTTTCTGGCCAATGTTTCATATAAGAGTCCCCACATGCCCTGGCCTACCCACACCCCCAGTACGACCCTATCCCAACCTCACATTTTTGTGACGTCATTTGAAAACTCTTGTATGAAAATAAACTTCACCCTTTATTAGCTCTCCTTGAACAATTCCAGGTGAAGTATATATAAAGTCCTCAAATGACATCACAATAGAGGTGGGGTGGGTGTAGGGTAGGGATCAGGATAGAGATGGGGTGGGAGTCATTTGGAGACCATTCCATATATGACTCTTGTATTAAATTTCAGCCAAGCCCTGGTTGAAACACTAATCAAAACCCTTATTCGAACTATAATCCAAATCCAATTCAATTGGCATGCACGATTGCAACTGGATCTTTTTGAATAATCAGTATCTATAGTAGTCTTCTAGATCGGCAATAAAGTGAAAAATGGGTGGATAAAAATAACTGCATGGCAAGGAAATAGCGAGACTTTTTTTTTTTTAAATAATTTTTCTTTGCGTTTATAGCATGTCAATGTAAGGCAAATTCGTTAAGCGTTTAAACTTTTGTGTTTTTTTTATTTGGAAAAACTAGTTACAGACCCGTTTCAGTTCATTGCCGACGCGGCCAAGTCCGGCTACGACACGCTTATAATTATTAGCCGGTTATGTGGACCATTAACGCAAATTCAATGGATCTGTTTGAATTATGAAATCGCAGTATGAATGACCAACCCTCCATGAAGTACGCGAAAAGGATCCACATAACCATGCAAGCTATACCACTAACAGCTAAAGTAAATATAATAATTAACAGAGTGGACTTAGACCTTTTGGTTTGTATTTGCAATGAGTTTTGATGTTACAGACACTAAAACGTCCCTTGGAGTTCTTATATACCTTTCATAACAATCTGAGGACCAGTGTCCAAGAGTCTTTATTAGCCAAGTAGGGCGTCCTGCTGAACCAGCTGCTGTAGCTGCTCCAATTCTGAAGCTATGTGAAGCATACAGGGTTTTGTCTAGTCCTTGCTGCTGAAGTAAACTGCGTAGATGTGAAGTTAGTGTTGCACGGGGGAGAGGAGCTCCAGATTCAAACTGAAAAAGAGGTCAACTTTCGGGGATGGAAGTGTTTGGAGTAAATAATTCTTCATTGCTCGTACAGGGCAGAATTCATTAAGCGATGATCCAATTGTTAAACAGCATCCACGGCGAAATGGGTCAGTTTTTGAGCCTTTGATGATGATGTCAAAGTGTTCTGCATTCAAAATGTTCGGGTAGAAAATAATGCCAGTTCTTGAAAGGAGGTATTCAGGATCAAACGGGGAATTGCTTGCAAGTAAACTCACTGCACCGCAGAAAGCCAAAAAAGGCTAAAGTAAAGGCAGCTCAGAGCATCACATTGTCTATAGAATCTGTAAACTGGGGACGTAGTGCACAATGAAGACATGCAAGTTCTTTAAAAGTGATGGGCCAACGATCTCTCGTTTTTTCACCCTTCAGGCATTTCAGACCTTTCAGACATTTTTCTAATAGTTGCATGGTCCCCATATTGAATGGCACTTGGAAAATGACGTGCAGATAAGACACGCTGGCTAGATACGTTTTGACAGTTGCATAAGAAACTGATTGGGATAAATGTCCAAAAAAGTAAAGTAATTTCAGTCGCAGGCAGCAGAGGTGAACAAGGTGTCACAATCCCTTTTTCGAGACAAAAAGAAATAAACCGTTTAATATGCGGACAGAGTCTAAAGAAATCCAGAGAAACTCCAATACTTGGTTAGGGGCATACGTTTTTCCAGGGGCAATTGGAACATCTAACTCTGTAAACAGGCACAACAATTTACATAAGGAAGTTAAACATGCTGAACATGGTGCGGGTTCGGCTATAAAGAAATCGTCCAAAATATGGAGAACGTTTGAAACTCCTAGTTTGTGTATAAGAATCCATTCGAGGGCATCAGAAAGCATGTTGAAAATGAAAGGGGCACTTCGAAGATCAAAAGGAAGTACACGATCGAAAAAATACAAATCACACCATTTCATGCCGAGAAGTTCCCAGTCGTCAGGATGTACTGGTATGTTACGAAAGGCGGATTTAACTCTTTCTCAGCCGGTAGTTTCGTATTACATTTCGATTCAATTTTTCTAATATAAATATCTCGGCGAGTATTTACCCCCCTTTTAAATAAATGCCACCATTGAAATCCTCACAATATAACCTTTCGAACGGGGGGTCAAGTGCCGTCAAAACATTACACAAACCGAAACAATCATATATTTATACTCACCGCTTCGCCAAACATTCAAACGAGAGAGAAAAAGTTGAATAGATTCTAAACTTTGGCGACATTTTCTGAAAGGATATATGTGTAAAATACTCTTTGTATTCAAGCGCTTTCGTGTAGAAAGTTTCGTATGAATACGGCGAGTAGAAATATTTATTTTGAATTTTTCAAGGTATCGGGTTTTACTCGCACGCGCTTGTATTACGTAATACTTGGCCAATAAGGAGCTCCCTTTAGCCGGGATGACGTCAAACTCACGCGTATAGGTGCACTTTGACCTGTAGAATCCATTTCTGGCATTTCCAGAGTCACGCGATACAAACTTCGCATTGTTTTGACGGTTTTTCGTCGTATTTCCGGTTGGGATTAACGCAAATTCGGGGCAGAAATGCAAAATTCGGCAAGAAAACTCACATTTTAAAGATAGAAGCTTGAAAATAACAGTATACATGTTATTTTTAACTGCTTCATTCATCAAGACTACCAGAATGAGCATACGTCTAAAGGGGCCGAAGTTATGTTCGGCGAAAGGTATGTCTATGTTTATAATTTGTTAGTAATATTGTGTAATTTGATCAAATACCAAGCTCGCTTGACTTTCAAAGCTCATAAATCGCTACAATTTAGCCACTGACTAAAACTATCGTTATAAATTAGTGTATATTTTTATACTGAATCGAATGGTGGTATTTTCATCTACATAGCGTGCACTGAACCAAAGATATGAACGAATTACATCCGTAGAACGTGCACGTTCTACGCGTAATGGCCCCAGCTGAGAAAGAGTTTTAAAACATCGGTTTTGGCCATGAAACATTTTGGACCGAGCTTTAGAAGGATTCTTATAGCATCATCAAGGCGTACATATTGTAGCGAATATTCCTCGGACGAAATGTTCGCATTGACGCTGGCGTTGGAAGTTTTTGGATACGACAAGTGGAAAATTGTTCTCCATTTGGACGAATTATTTTTAGGAGCGAGACCCAAAGGGTAAATTTGAAAATTTTGAAATGGCGGTGAAGTGAAAGGCCCAATAGTGTGACCTTGTTTGACTTTTTCGAGTAAATTACTATCAACGGTTTCCAGCAAGAGGTAAGCGGTTTTTAGATTTTTTGAAAAATAAGGCTGACGAGGCCCGTGATAACCAATTTTAAACCCGTCCCTCAAGCCCGAACAGAGGCCGAAGACAAATTCACGATCTGGGTGGTCAGTTAACAGAGATTCGAGTAAATTAACATTAATTGGTGTAACTGGTTTTAATTTGTCAACAAAAGCTTTACTTGTGTTTTCTGCGACGTGAAGTGTCATCAACTCTTTTAGCGCTGGTGTCATTGTGAGTGTAGGCGCCATGCTGTTCACCACAGTCTGGTCGATTGCAGCGGTGTTCGAACGGACACGGAGAGGTAATACATGGGACACCTCTGTTGAAATTCTGGCAAAACTTTCTTTGGTTGGAAAACCTGCTTGGCCGGCTACCTTCAAACCTTGAGGAAAGAGGGCAGATATCAGACATGTGATCAGCGCCGCCGCAGACAAAACAAATTTGACGTGCGAGACCCGTGAACTTATCTAGCCAAAGCTGGAGATGGCGTTCACCCCAATTAAGCGCTGGATTTTTGGCAGCAAGCTTTCAAAAATCAATATCGTAAGCGTACCATGCGAGGCCTTTAAACTTTTGCGAAGCTTCGTGGATTATGCGCTGGTAGGCAAACAGCTGCGCGGCCTTATGTGGAAATTTAGCGACAACCACGGACGCGTCAATACCAAAAGCAGTAAGCCACTTATCTATGTTGTCGACTTTAGTGCGCTTTCCGAAATTTGAGAAAGGAATTGGGATCGTGAAACCCTGGTCGCCCTCTACTGAAAGGCGAATAGGGGCAAAACTAGGACGGTCTGAATTACCCGGGAGAAGCAAAGAAAAATCGACAAACTCACCCTTTAGAATTTGCTCTTCAAGCCTTTTTGGTAAATTTGGGCTGACGTCTAATGGCGAAGATGTCGATGGCTGCGACGAAAGGAGGCTGGCAACTTGTGATGGATTACCAAGGTCCAGAGGCAGCGTTGGAGCGTTTTGCACGGGAAAACGTGGCAGAGACTGTGGTTGAGGTGGCATAGTTGGCGGCGACCCGTTTTGTTGGGCCAAAACGTCGCGGAGAAAAGGAACAAGGTTCAACGCAAGCGAGCGGAGAGATTCGGATCTTGGAATCTTGAGCTGGGTCTTGGATCGGCACTCGATGCAGCTGGGACTTCTGCTCCATCGTGATCGGCGAGGCGACGAAGAAGAGTATCACGCGAACCAGAAAGCGCGAGATTTCGAGGAGATGGAGAACCTCCGTTGATAAGTCGGCGTAATTCACCCCAGCAGTACTCGACGGCGTCATCGAACTTTCACCAACATCTGCAGCCGGCGTTTGCTCAATGCCACGCTGCGGACGGCCACAAGTTGAGCCTCCAGTTGGTCCTGAACGACGCTTGCCTTTTTCTTTAGGCATTGTAAGTCAACAATATTTTTTTTTTCCCAAATTTTCACTTCTTTGCCAAGGTTTTTATCCCTTGAATTATAAACTAAAATTTTTGCCAGAGCTGTTAACGCACTGGCTAAAGTCTTGCGAATGAACAAGGCACGTTGAAACTGCGATCAAAAGTCCTTGATCACAAGGGGGGCATTGTATGTATGCACGTGAAGGAAAAACCTTCAGGATAATTTCTGATTGGTTAATCTCAAGTTAGCATCAGTTGTTCACATGCTTAGTAGCCAAAGTTCGATTTTTATCTGATATTTTGTAATATTAACAGGACTAGAAAACGGTTCCCTTGTTCTGCCAAGGTACTTGGACCTTGTACGTACCTTGCACGGATTGATTTTGTGATGCAGATGTGTTGGCAGACTGAAAACACCCTCGGGCAAATGGAGTCTTCTAGAACATATCACTCCATTAACCGCAATTTATAGCTTTGCTTAAATTGATTATTTTATTAAAATACCGATCTAAATGGTTTCCATTTTTTTGAAAACTGTGTCGCTCCATTTTTTTGAAAACCGTTGAAAAGTCCTTCAAAACAGTATATTTTTTAAGGATTCTTCAGTCAGGGTGGGGCAATTCTCTCCTTGTCCTCCCCCATGCAGGATAGTATAGATAGATAGATAGATTGATAGAGACTTTATTTAAAGAGGGTGACACTTAATAGTACGAAGTACTAATGAACTTGTGGCCCTCATAAAATTTACAAAAAATTAGGGAGTATATCAATTGTCTATTTACAACATTATATATATATATATATATATATATATATATATATGATTATAAATCAATATTCAGTTGACTTTCAAGTTTACTTAATTAAAAAGGTTATATTACGTGAGGTATATATGACATTACATTTATATAAAAGAGAACATTAGCTATGTTACAATTATATATTACTTAAATTTGAAATCAGGAAAAGAAGTAAATTGTTTAAATTCACCCTGGTGCGTACGGAAGCAATTATATAATAAGTATTTAAAACAGTTAATGGAGCTAGCAGAACGGAAACTTAAAGGTAGACTGTTCCAGAGGCCTATAGTGGTTATAGAAAAAGTATACGATCGCTGAAGGTGTGAGCCGAGTACTGTAGGCTCGAGTTAGCTAGGGATGGTTTTAAAATTTGGGTCTCTGAAATAGCATTTTGTGCATTCTAAGGACACATTTTTAAAAAAAGTTTTAATCAGGTGAAATTTGTAATAAATTGCATCAAACACAACATAAGTTCAGTTACTAGTATGCTGCACCAACAAATTTAGTTTTTTTGGGTTTTTTTTCAATGTTAAACTCATTTACTCATACAAGTCCTAGGACCTGGCTTTGGGGCAATAATTTTTTCAGTTGTGGGGCAGAAGGAGGGGCCCAGTGGGGCAAATGCCCCACCAGTCCACAGTATTAAAAATGCCTTGTTTCAAAAATAGCACAATACAGTCATGGCATAAAATTAGATTACAACACGACTGGATAACAGTCTTAACAGAGGATATCATGAAAGTGGCATTTAGGTAAATTTAAACCGATAACTGCATTGGAAAGCGCTTGAAAAACAGCACATTATAATAGCATAAAATTGGATTATTACGTGCACAGATAACAGAGAAAATTAAGCATGAATGTTGCCATTGTAGTTTGCGTAAAAGTAGGCCGTACTGAAATTGTAATATCTCAACGGGAATGTTACTTTTAGGACCGATAACTGCATTAAAAAGCCCTTGAAAAGCAGCACATTATAGTGGCATATAAAATTAAATTACTACATACCCAGATAACAAAGAAAAATAAGCATGAAAGTTGCAAGGTTGGGATTTTAATTCTGCATGAAAAAACAAATACCACTCTATATGCCTCAGATATCCGCATTTTACCCTCCCACCGTCCATTCGCATTTTATCCTCCTGTCCGTCCGTTTTTTAACCTCTCATCCATCCGTCCGTCCGTCTGCCATCTATCTGTCTTAAAAAAATATTTTCATTGTCTATACAACGCCCAACACCATACCCACGATGCACGACCCACCCACCCACCCACCCACGCCATTTAGCCATCCTCAATTTTTGAAAGCTTATTATTCAAAGGATATTGATGTAAATGTCTTCAAACTTTGTATACTTACTAATTTTGAGGTGGTCTTTTTTGTGATTTGGTTCATTTCTTAATTTGTGCACTTTTTAACACTCGTCCCCAGGAAGCACCAGATGGACCACAATGGAAACGGCAAGGGTGGTACTGAAACCAGTTAACACAAGCAAAGCAAAACTTGCAAACACACTCACCGACAGTCACAGTTTGCTTAATTAAATAGAGGACTATTCCAGGTCTAGCATCTGAAGCATTTTCAAGTTTACGTTTCCATCATATCGATCAGGCCACTTTGCAAGAATGTAGGAGGAACGGTTTAGCCGAGAAAATTGAGATCCATACTGTTCACTAGCACATTCTACGGAAACGTATTTATCATAAAACTCCGGAATGACAGAAAGGGAAACATTTGGGAAAGACCTGGTAAACCTCTTGAAGGTATAGCAGTTCATCATGATCAAATTTCTTAATGGTATGTGGAGCACCAAATGAAAAGCTTGAAATACTGAACCACAATTCACTGGTAACATCGAGTACACCGTCCACTAATTTTAGCAATTTCAGTATTACTTCACGATTGAGATATAACAGATTTGAACTGCTCCCAAACTTACATTTATCTATCAATGGTTGGCACCGACCTTTACACTCCTCGGTGAGCTCTAGATTACAAACAGCTTGACTTTTTTCAAAATTGCACATTAATTGCAGCTCAATTGACTTGTTATTTGTGTAATAGTCACCCAAAATTTGGTTGTACTGTTCAAAACTGAATAACAAAAACCCACAGACACGTCCATAGTCGAAAATACAATCAGCTAAATGTGTATTATGTAAGTGCATGTTCGGTGTAATACAAAGTTTCCCGTATAGTCTCTCAAATTCACGACAAAACTGTAACAAAAGAGTGTGACAAGATGCAATGTCTCTGAGTTGAACCAAAGGAGTGCAGATCAATTTACACACCTTTACAAAAAGGAGCCAACAGCGGTAGTTCTGCTCTGGTGCTATGTCATATAGAGTGTATAGAGAAAATATGGTTACCCAGGTCTTCCACTGGTCAGCGGTAAATCCAGCAAAGGACTTGGCAATTTTGCCCGGAATTCAACCAATCTTGGTAGGAACATGCACAGCATCAACTTTCTCCTGCACTTTTTGCAAATCAGTGGAAGTTAATTCATAATTCACAATGTGCAGTAAAATCCAATTTTTTCACAAGAACTCTTAAACTTTCTATTAAGCTTTTATAACAATAAACTTTATGAGGCTACAGTTTCTTACTTCCGCACTTAAGAGTTACTTCCTTCAAAAGAGAAGCACCACATGACTGCCTTCGCCATCGCTGCCTATGGTTAGGAAATTTGACGACAGAACATTTGTTGGAAATACGAGTCGTCCCTGAAACTATGGTAGCACTTATCAAACTCGTACAAGGCATGACATTTAGGACAAGCAATGTACTTGACAAGCACATTCACAAGACCGATCTCCTTGCGGAAGTAATATAATGTGCCTGGAAATGCAACGGCGAGCCCAGCCATCCACTAGCTTGACACAGCAACAATTTCAAAGCATTTTTTTAATCCAGCCAGCAAAAATTCCATTTCATTATCATTAGAAATGTGGAAATTTGTCCAGAAGTATGCAAGCAATACCACCAGACATTGGGTTAACAGTAGATTTAATGAACGACAATGAGAATTCATACGCACATCTACACTAGGCAATGATTCATTTCTGGAATTTTGGGGGAAATCATCCTCAACTTCACCAATACCAGCTTCATCCCAAATCTCACTAATGAGAAGGTCATTGACATTAACAGTGTCCCCTCCCAGAGTGGTAAATGTATTAATCACCTTCACTATCAGATGGTATCTCCATAAACAAATTTTCATCCTCGTCAGCGCTATCAGTTACTACATTTAAAGTTACGGTTTTTTGCCATGAATTGCTAAATGGATTAACTCTTTCTCTTTCTATAAATTTCATACCTTTGGTTCAGTGCATGCTATGAAGACAGAAATACCACCAATCGATTCAGAAATAAAAGATAGACTAGTTCCAAACGATAGTTATAGTCATTATTAACATTGTAACGATTTATGGGCCTTTGAAAGTCAAACACGATAATATTGTACCAAATTACACTATTTAGAGTGTTATTTGCAAGCCTGTATCTTCAAATCTGTATCTTTTATCAATATATTTCCATTTCTTGTCCGACTGTGAGCTCGAAGTGACTTAATCCCAACCGGAAATACGTCTGAAAACCGTCAAAACAATGCGACGTTTGTATCATATGACCCTGGAAAGGCCAGAAATGGATTCACAAGGTCAAATTGCACCTACACGCGTGAGTTTGACGTCATACCGGCCAACAGGAGCTTCTTATTGGCCAATTATTGCACAATATTCGCAAGTGTGAGTAAAACCCGACATCTTGAAAAATTCAAAATAAATATTTCTAGTTGGCGTATACATACGAAACTTTCTACACGAAAGCGCTTGCATACAAAGAGTATTTTACACATATAGCCGTTCAGAAAATGACGAAAAGTTCAAGAGATATTCAAGATTTTGTAGATATGAAATCTAGAATCTTTGGCCAAGCAGTGAGTAAATATATGATTGTTTCGGTTTGTGTAATGCTCTGACGGCACTTGAGCCCCCGTTCGAAAGGTTATTTTATTAGGATTTCAATGGTGGCTTTTATTTACAAGGGGGGTAAATACTCGCCGAGATATTTATATTAGAAAAATTGTGTCATAATCTGATGCGAAAGGGGGTGGTCGAGAAAGAGTTAAAGAACCTTTTACAATTGTCTCTGAAGGTCCTGGGACAAAATGTAAGATATTCACGATCAGACATGTTGAATTCACCAA